GAATTTGTACTTCTTTTGTTACATTTTCCCAAATACCTAATGACTCTAACATGACGTGTCCAAACTTCCCAGAGCATTTTCATCAATAGGTCATGATGATTATGGGCTGAATGGTAACCCCTAAAAATTCTTATGTTGAAATCCTAACCCCCAGGACCTCAGAATATGACTGCACTTAGAGATAAGGTCTTAAATTAAGATAAATGAGTTCATAAGGGTGGGCCTAATTCAATATGGCTGGTATCCTTTTGAGAAGAGGAGATTAGAACACAGACATGCACAAAGGGAGGTCCATTTTAAGGCAGAGAGAAAACGGCTAGATACAAGCCAAGGAGACAGGCCTCAGAAGAAACCCGGCCAACACCTCTGTCTGAGACTTCTAGCTTTCAGAACTATGAGAAAATAAATCCCTATTGTTTAAACTTCTCAGTCTGTGGTACTTTGTTATGGTAGTTCTAACAAATTAATAACAAGCAAATTTCCCTAATTAAAGTCTGAACCGCTATAAGGGGCTAAAGAGAAGTGTGGCAAAAAGTAGGACTAGAGAGAAAAGCTAGATCAAGGTCATATATAGTCTTAAAGTTGAAAGGAATTAGAATTTTACTCTAATGAGATGGAAGCGAGAGGTATGTGATCAGATAATAAGGAAAAGATATGGACAGTTTTAATAGAGGGGTAACAATATAAGCAAGATATGCATTGGATTAAAAACTAAAATGGGTAGTAAGAAATTGGACTCAGGGAGTGTAGGTGATGAAACTACTAATGTCTTCCCTCTAACAACAACCCATGTGATGCTGCTAGCTGATTGTTAATAGACGAACTTAAATACAAATTTAATGCCTTGAACTTATACAATTTTGCTTCCTCGGGGGAAAGAGAATTGCAGTAGCCTGACAAATAACTTACATCTACTACCTAAATATACACAATTCTTTTCCATTGTAAAGTTGACTACTCACAGAACAAATTATAATTTCTCCATATCTTACATTTAGGATAATCTGAAACTATGTTTTCCCTGAAGACTACTTTATGGACATTTACCATTTCAGTAGACAAACATAGAAAGTTAGGAAAGAGTAGGTCTTGTTTTGGTTTTGCTTTTGTATTTTTTTTTTTTCCAATCAGGCATTAGGTACCCTTAGCCTTATATCCTAGACAATGGTACTTTACAAGTGAAAGCTAAAAATTATGTTTGTGCTATTTTTTTCCACATCAAAATTCTCCAGTAATTTTATGATTATAGGTCATAATAGTGGCCAGAAAGTATCATCCGCTAGCCCCCGCAGTCTTAGAAGACAGCACTACATTTTATAAATAGGAGCTTTTGTTTCAGCTCATCTAGCTAAGAGTAGTCATATTATGATTGGGATTTCACTTGAAAATTTACAATGATAGCCAAAATCAAGTATCCAAGTTTTCCCAATATATTGCCAGAGTATATTAAATGCTCACCATTGTTTTGCTATTTGGTTGGTTATGGTTTCGACTTTAATTAAAATTCAGCGAGAGAGTATGCAAAATGTTTAGCATAAAGTTGGTTGGATATTCAAAAGATGTATAGCGTATGAGTTTCCAAATGAGTAAACGAATGTATATCATAGAGCAGAAATGCAGCTGATTTTCAAGAAGACTGGAATCATTTACTAGAAACTTGCCAGGAACTCAAACTATACCTCTTCTCTGCCTTTATTTCTACTTTATTTTTCTCCTCCACTTTTCTCTGCTGCTCTATTCTCTTGGGTGTCCCAGTGTTCCTGAGTTTAAATCTTTTTAACATGTCAGTATGTTATAATTTATATTCTCTTGTTCCCAGTTCCAAATATCTGGGAGGGTCTGATGGGTTCAGCTTAAATCAAGTGTCCACCCAAGATTCAATTGGCCTTGGCCAGGAGGACAGGTTTACATATGAAAAGCATGGTTCCTCGGTAAATTTCCAAGGTAAATGGAAGGCCAGTTTCCACAGAAAAAGGAATTGTGAATTGGGTAGATAACTAAAAGTATCTTCTGATAAATGGATCAGAGGGCAGGGGATGAGTAGGGAGTGAAATCTTACTGAAAGATGAATAAATGAAAAGACTTCAAGATGCAAAGGAAAGATGAGAAATGATGACTTTGAATCAAAATGGAAAAAAGATTTGGAGCCAATATCACAAAAGAATAATTCATAATTCAGTGGGTCATCTTTCTGCTCATGGTCCCAAATAGATTTAGATTAAGTTCTGCCAAATACATGTTTCAAATTAATTATATTTTGGAAATCTTATTATATTGATCTTATTAAGTTTTATAAGTGATCTGTTTTCAAGATATTCATACATATAGTATACACTTATATGAAGATTAAGAAATATGTGAATTCAACCTATGAATATTTTCACATTTTGTTACTTCTATACATTTATAAATCAAGAGTAGCACAAAAACTCACTTTAGAATACATTTTTTACATTCTTTCATCACTGAATGGACAATAGCTTTTTTTTTTTTTTTTAATTAGCTAAATTCGGGTTTCTGCTGAAGCAGCTGAGGATCCAAGATGCTCTAGGCTACAAGCTGAAGTTTGGAAAAAATTCAACCTGCTGACTTTTATCCTCTCTTTTGGACAAGATGGTTGTGGGTAATTTGGGCCTCTGGCTATGAAACATGAACCTGTCTATCTGCATTATTAATGGATGCTTGATGAGGTAAGCTAACAGTGACTCTGGTTTCTTTGCAAAAAGACCAACAAGACATTTCTTGAGATGTAAAAAGTCAAACAGACAAAGATGTTGATAACAACTAACATTTCTAGATTGTTTATAATGTGCCATGATGCACGGTGTTGAATATTTTAAATGGTTTATTTGATTTAATACTTATACTGGCCCATAGCATTAATACTATCATTACCCATTTTAAAGATTAGAAAATCAAGGCTTGAAGAAGTAAACTACTCAAGGTCACAGCAGCTAAGAGTAGGGTGGAACTGAAATTTCATCCCAGGTACCATGACTCTAATCATTATTCTCCTATAGATCTTAATTTATACTTTACTGTATCCTTCATGTTGAGGATTAAATTCCAGGTGGAGCGAATGAATCATAAGAGTAATAATGGCTTTGAAAATCCTCTCCCTGGACCAAGTCATTCCTTGATTCTTTTAGACATGAGATGCAGAGAGGGACATAGGAGAAAAGCTGCAGGATACAGACAGAATTAAAACCAGTTTATAAAATCCCCAAAACAAAACTGCTGAAAGGTTTTATGTCTGTCTACTTCCTAGTTAATATAATTCACAAACAGTATTTAGATAATACTTGCACTTCAACTTTGTCAGTTTTTCTAAGCTCTAAAGCTAGAAATTTCTCATTCATGGATAGGGAGAAAAGCAGCAGAGAGAAGCTGATAGAGACTTATGCCAAGACTATAATTAATTCTTTGCAGGAAACACCAAGGAACTACTCCAAAGGAAGGGAAGACACTTCTGACTTTTCTTCCTCTCTTACTCTATAAGAAGGGAAGTGTGTTCTTGGTAGATTTTAAGTCCAGAGGGAAATGTGCTTACAACCTCCAACCACTTACAGTAAAATCTAGCTATGACTTCCAACCACGGTGAGATATTACAATTTCCTTTTGCTTTATTTTGAATAGAAATGGGCATACTGCTCCTTAATCTGTGTATATAAGTATGGGCATATAGAGATATATAAAAAATATCCTAAACAAAAAAGGAATTTGGATATTTTGCATACTTTCATCATTCCTAAATGAAATAGGCAGATATCTTCAGGTGAGATCTCAGTGATGTTGATTATCATACTTTGAAAAGAATGATTATAATTTATTTTTCATCTATTTCTATGAAAAGAAATTAATAAATGGCTATTCCAAAATTTCAGGCCATTTGTTTGCCCTCCCAGTGATACACTTCCTTCACACAAGCTTTCAGATTTGCTCCTGATATGTGAATGGGCATGAATGGGAGACACTCAATATGGGGAAAGGGAAAAAGGGTTAAAGAGATTTTCATGGGAAAGAGCAGATGGTTTGGTTTTTGTAGTTAAAACCAAAATCCTGGACCACAAATTCTTTTAACCCTACCACAGAAGTCTTCATCAGGAATATTCTGGTCTTAAAGTAAACAGCCCTCATCCTCAGCCTTCTCAAGCGCATATCTCTTTCTAGGCTGATGTACATACACCTCCAGAAATGGAAAACATAATTAAATTGTACTACATCAAGTACTTTCAAGTATTTGAGAACACAAATTTGAAAAAAACAAAAACAAAAAACTTGAGTGTATTTATTGGCTTTTTAGCTGTGCTTCTTTGTAATATATTTTGGTGATTCCTTCTGAATTAGAATATACAACTTAAACTTTTCACAGTCTCCTTAAAGTTAGTATGTATTGTGCTATTCCACATAAAATACAATCATTTTCAACCAAATAGGCCCATTCACTGTTTTCCCCTGCCCTTTACATTACAATTACATTACATAACAAACATCATCATACAGTACGATATCAGACCTTTTCCTTTAAACAGTCACATGTTTTTCAAGAAATTAAGAATAAAAAAAAATAGTCTGCTTATGCACACCTTTTCTAAAGTTCTTAATTCCTGCCAGAGGACCTGAGTCTGAAGGATTTCTTTCAGCATTGTTTGTTTTGGTTTGTTTGTAGTACAGGTCTGCTGGTAATTGGTTTTCTTCATTTTCTTTCATCTGCAAATGTCTTTAATATTTGGATGGGGCAGGGGAGTGCAGAATTCTGGGTTGAAATTTCATTCTTATAGCACTGTAAGCAAATTGTTATACTGTCTTCTGGATTTCACAGTTCTTGTTTAGAAATAAGTAGAATTTGATCATTGTTCCACTATATATAATGTGCTCTCTAGCCTCCTTCGGGGCTTTCGTCCCCACTTGGATTTTCTGGCAGTTTGCCTATGACGTGCATGGGTGTGGTTTTCTTTGCATTTGCCTTTTTTGGATTCACTGAGCTCCTTACATCTGAATTTTTTTTTTTTTACCAAGTTGGTGAAATGTTTTCATTAGTTCTTAGGACATGTTCACTGCCTAATTCTTTCTTCCTTCTACTATATCATCAATTACACATATGCTATACCTTTTTATATTGTTCCACAGGCCCTCAGGATACTATTTTTTTAATTGTTCCTCAGATCAGATAACATATATTACAGTTTACTAATTTATTTCTCTGTCTTCTCTATTCTCCTCTTAGCCTATCCAACGTATTAAATTTCAGAATTGAAGTTTTTAGTTATAGAATTTACATATGGTTCTTTGATATAGTTTCAATTTCTCTCCTGAGTTTTCTGTTTTCTCTTCTTGTGAATATATTTTCCTTTATTTTATTGTGCTTAGTTTCATTAGTTGCTTTAAATTCCTTAGTCTGCTAGTTATTCCTTGGGTTGATCTTGGTTGATTATCTTTTCTCTTAAGACCAGCTCATAATTTCCCAGATCCATAAACATCAAGTAATTTTTAATTGTGTACTGAACATAGTGGATGATCCAAGAACAATTTCTGTTGTTCTCATTTTAGCAAGCAATTAATTTTGGTGCTCTCAAGCTGAAAAATCTATCTTTTGAGTGGCAACTAAAATATATGTTGTTTTATTTTATCTGCACTTGGACTACTTTAAGTCTGATCCACAAAGGTATGGTCCAGGAGTCAGTCTAAGACTTGGGCAGAATTTACATACGAATTTGGAGCTTCTCATCTCTGACTCTCTCCTCTTCTGGATTCCTTCTTTACTTGCCCAGCAGTTATGCTCTCTCTCACCTTTGTCTTCTCATTTCTCAGGCCAGAAGGAGTGGTGCCACCTGTTAAAATAAGATACTCACACATGCCATTCCATCAAGCCAAGTATCAACTTCTACTTAGAATGGGTAGAATTTTCTTCATTCTTTGTCACTCATCAATGCTGTATCTTTTTTAAAAAATTTTGTTTGAAGTTATAATTATTATCTATAAGAATAAGAGGTTACTTGGCCATATCAGAAGCCAATCTTGAGGTTATGAAATGTAGACACTGATTCATTTTGTTATTTCTTCCTTCTTTTTCTCTTTTCATTGCTTTGGTTATAGAAATAAGCTTTGAAGAACATATGTGTTTGATTTTTATTGTTATTTTAATTGTTTTCATTTCTTTTTTACTAAGTGGATAGCTTCTCTCCTCAAAAATATGGGGCAAATTACTAAGAGAACTGAGGTATCTGGAGAAATTTTAATCAAAAAGAAGAAAATTTCACTCAGTAAAGTAAGAGATAATTCCAAATACAGCAAAGACACACCAGCTAATAGAGAGGTGATTGATATAGGAAAAGAGGGCCAAGAAGAATTTGGCCAGAACTCACAACCAGGTTTGAACTACTCCAGGGTCGATCCTCTTGACTTTCCACATTATATTGAGGGAGAATTTTAAACAAAAAATGGGAAAACACTATTTAACATGAAGGACAGAGAGAGAACCAATACAGAATTTTTTTAAGAACATGAAGAAATCAGCAAAAAATGTTATTTTAGGAAATGGTACTGTGTCATCTACTAACAAAAGCCAAGTTACAAAGGGGTTTCTGAATTCTAAACTTGAAATGGTAGTCTCTTTATGTAGAATTAGGCAAGGATCTTGAGTATTGTAGAGAAGGACATTAAATATACTTAAAGAAGAATTATTTCTCTTGGATGTCATCTTTATTGCCCCTTATTATGATCTGCTGCTATTCTGAAAAATAAGGTTATTCTAACCATTTACAAGAGCCTCAAGAATGAGTCCCAAGGGTAAGGGCAGCAACTTCTTTAGGAATACCTATTAGGTTATCAATAGAAAAACACTTTCTGACCACCTGTTTACACACATACTGTGCTGTTAAGTCACTGACACATTAAAGATCACATTGATACAGGCTGACAGAAACAACTTACTGATCAACCTGAACAAGTGTTTGCATTAAATAATAATTTATACTATGCATAAGCAAAGGAAGGTGCATTCTCTGTGGGGTGGCAGATACACAGACTAGCAATTTCTTGTTTAGACAGAAAGACCTGACAAAGAAGAGCTCATTAGGGTCTCTGGAGAGTGGCTGACAGCTGAGGAGCTGTCGGCTCTGTCAAAAGACCTTTGAAAATAATTCTTGTTTTTGAATCAGAATTTTCTGAATCACCAGCGGGATGCCAGAAGTACATTGTTTGCTTCCTTGACTATTTCCTCGTCCTTCAGTGTTATCAGAATTTGCCCAGAGCCTTAGCTGCCTTCGAAAACTTTTGTGCTTTGGCATGCATGCCCACAAACAAACTAGAATTTGTTTTCTCAAAAACCCTTTTGTATGTCCTTGCTTATATTCTTCCTAATTAATGTCAGGAATTGCTTTAAATATATGGTTACTGAGAATATGTCAGCCTCTGTGTGTGTGTGTGTGTTCGTGTATAAGAAAGACATATACACAGAGAGACAGAGAGAGACCAGGAGATTGGTTGATTTGACTTCATATCTCGAAGATGGACATGAAGACATAAGAAATAAGAGTGCTGGACTTGCAAAAAAGAGAACTTACACAAATAACTGTTGTTCAAAAACATAAAAATAAAACAAAACAAAAAACCCCTTCAGATTGATTTACTACAGTTACAAACTTTAATATTCTGCCTCTCAGATCTTCCGCTTGCATAGCAGATTCTAATTTTCATCCCAAAGTCAGAATCTAATTCAAAATACACATCCTCGGCACCAGCATTCCCAGACTTCATGTGTATTTAACTTTGGTGCCTTATCTTCCCAGGCATCTCACTCCCTGCCCTCAACATACCCACTCTCAGTATTACCCTCACAGCAGTGTTAACCAGTAGCACCCGCTTTGTTTTCCAACTTTGAATTTCCTGACAGATTATACCTGCATTTAGCTGGGATATGAGTGACTATGTTTACATGTCTTTTTGTGGGGGGGGGGAGAACAGATTAATAACAGTAACTGTAATAGGTATAAGAATGATTATCCCCATTTTACAGTGGACAGAACTAAGACATTTTAATCTCTAGATCAAGGGGATACAGTCAATAAGGGATAAAATCTAAATTCCTACTCAGAACTGATTCCCAAGCATTTGCCTTGTCTTAATCACTCTTCTAGAGTGCCACCCGTGAAGCAAGCCTCGCTATCCTTAGTTGATCGCTGTAGCCTCCCTGAAGTTACAGAATATATGGGACTTTCTTTCCAATATTCCAAGAAGTTGAGGAATTCCTCCTAGGTAACCCCACCACTGCTAGATGAATTCCTTTAATGAAATCATAAAACTTCTATTTCATCTTTACTGTGTGATTAGCTTGATTTTCTTCCACTATCTGACTATTTCAGAGGTGTACTTTGGTTGAACTACTGGCCAACCTAAAACAGATAAAATCATTATTTATACATTATAGATGGGAAAAAAAATGAAGTTTAGTAGAGTCATGTGCAGCCAGGATCAAAGTTAAGGTCTACTTGTCAACAAAACTACTTGAGGATAGGAAATTTATCTTTATTTTGTTCTGAGTTCCAGTCTACACCCAGTAAATCTATTGACATGAGTTGCCCTGAACAACTTTCAATACAATCTCTTTCCTGTGTCAATTCTTTCATATTAAGCCAAAACCCCTATGTGTTCCAACACATTCTGATTTCTCTCAACATGTCCTTTATTTCTTCCTCTATCAGTCAAAATCTCTATGGCAAAAGACAACATACTCAAAAGTTTTAGATTAATTTTAAAGATTTTATTTATTTATTTGACAGACAGATCACAAGTAGGCAGAGAGTCACACAGAGAGAGGAAGGGAAGCAGGCTCCCTGCTGAGCAGAGAGCCCAATGACCCGGGGATCATGACCTAAGCCGAAGGCAGAGGCTTTAACCCACTGAGCCACCCAGGCGCCCCCAAAAGTTTTAGATTTTTATAGAATAATTACTTTTTCAGGGACGTGAGTAGGGCTAACGGAACCATATTAGATGGAGAAGTGCCCAGGAACTAGCAACAACAGGTATCCATAATCACCTGTTGAGCCTAAAGAGGAGGGGAGAAGGATGATATCCATGGAACCAATGAGAGTTGGAGCCTTGGAAGAGGGGGTGTCCAATTCTCTCTCCCACTCCTCTATCTGTAATCAGCCACTGGGCCCTCCATTGGCTGAATCCAACCGTGAGCCACAATATAAGGAAACTGGGAACTAAGATGATTCAGAGCACAGAGTAGAACAGAGAATAACAGAAAATGGATACAGAGAGGCAGAAAACTGTTAGTGCACCTCCTATCAAAAGTACCCTCCCAGTAAACACTTTGGACATCTTCTATTATAGCTAAACATATGCATACCCTATGGTACAGCAGTTCTACTCCTTAGTACATGTCTAAGAGAAAGAAGCATGTAAGTCCACCAAGTTACATATACAGAAGTGTTCACAGCAGCTTTATTTATAATAATCAAAAACTAGAAGCAACCTAAATGTCTACCAACAGTAGAACAGATACACTGTGGTATATCCATAGAAGACTATAAGCAATGAAGAAGAACAAGCTCCTGATAACTATAACAACATGAATGAATCCCATCAATATAATTTGAAGCTGAAAAAGCCAGACACCAGAGTACATACTGAATGATTCTATTTATAAAAAGTTCTAGAACAGGAAAAACCAAGCTGTGGTGATAAGTCAGAATAGTTTTTACCTTTTTGGTGTGTGTGGGAGGGAAGACAGAGCTGGGTATTGACTGAGAAGGGACAGGAAGGAGCCCCTGGGTGGTGGTTATGTGGGCATACACACATGTAAAAAGTACTGAGTTGAACACTGAACACTGTTTCAGTTTACACAGTTTGTATCTCAATTCAAGTAACAATAGCAACTACCACTGCTGCTATGATTACTCTTTCATGCAGCGAAGTCCTTCAGAATTAGATTGTCTACCACATGTTAACAGCAAGTGATACTCAATCAGAAAACACTCCCTTCTGGTTTTAAACTCCACATTCTTCATTGATAACAAAAAAGAACAGAATACTGAAAAGCAAACAACAAAGACAAAAAAACGCTTTCAATTCCAGAAGATACTTGGGTGGTGAATCCAACTTTCAGAGATAACAGGAAGAGAGTAGGTAATGTTTAATATTTTGATGTGGGTAGCCCTGGGGTCCCCTCACATCATGCCTGACTGGCTAATGCCTCACAGCACTGTCCTAAAATGTTACCATGTCACACGGGGTTAAAGCTTCAGAGAACTGTGACAGATAATCCATTCTTATGAAAAGTGGCCAGAAACCTTGCATGACTGATTTTCAAACATAATTTATTTTTTGCCTTGTAAATTGGGTAGAACACAGAATTGAGTGAAATTATACAAACCTTCCTGGCTTGCTGTTTTCTCATTTACTACTAGGTTGGTTTTCAATGCAATACTTATTAATATTTCTAAACAGGAGCTGCAATTACATGGCACTTTAATATCCTGACCCATAGATAAGAATTTTACAGATATCTTTGCTATGCTGCTATCTCAATGGGTCTGACCCTATGGTGAAAAAACCACACCCTGGGAATAAATTGTTCCCCACAAGAGTGGAATTAGTGTTTCTAAGTACCATGGCTCCATTTTGTAAATTGGTTCTCCATGGTATGTTACTGGGCAACCAAAGAGAAGTATATAAAATTGAAACACAAGAGAAAAGACAACTGAAGTCGACACTACATGAAAGCAAAGATTTTAAGATTGCTCTCAAGACCAGAGGGGAATTGGGGCTATTATTCACAAGCAATTTGCATAACCCATGAACCCAAAGCCGAGGTGGACTGTAG